TTTTTTTTTTATTGTTTTCAAAGATTTTTCAATAAAACAAATGCTTTCTTGAGCAGAGGAACCTTGCAGGCACTGCTTTACCAACTCTTTTCTAGGTGACTACAGTCTCAGCTGCCTTTAGATCATTCACAAGTTCCTCCCGAGTTGTTCTCCTTCTGGTTTGACACTGTTCTCATTATCATTGAAACTCCATGAGGTGAGATCTTGCGTGGAGCTCCAGACCTAGGGAGCTTGGCAGTTATTCTATGGTTCTTCCATTTGCCAATAATCACACTAACTGTTGTCACCATCTCACCCAGCTGCTTGGCGATGGTCTTCTAGCCCATTCCAGCCTTGTGCACAATCTTGTCCCGGACATCCTTGGAAAGCTCTTTGGTCTTGGCCATGGTAGTTTTAAATCTGGAGAAATTAGTTTCTTCTATGCACTGTTGTCTTTTACACAGGTAACAAGCTGAGAAGGCTCCCAGCTCGTTACCTGTATAAAATACACATGGGAGCCAGAAATCTTCCTCATTGATAGGGGAGCAAATGCTTATTTCCTTCATGGAAATACAAATTCATTTATAACTTTTTTGAAATGCATTTTTATGGATTTTTTGTTTTTGTTCTGTGTCTCACTGTTCAATAAACCTACCATTGAAATTATAGACTGAACTTTCTTTTGTTAGTGGGCAAACTTACAAAATCAGCAGGGGTTCAAATAAGTTTTTTGACTGTACACTTTGCACTTATTTACATTTGGTAATATATTTTATGGATGAATAAAAGTAAGTTAAAAAAAGTTATTGTTATGATGTTTGGCATAACTGAAAGTACATGCAATATCAACCATCTAATCTGGTAAATTAGTAACACGAGGAGGCAGAGTCTTTGAGAGGTACTCAAAAGCCACTCTGTGAACGACTGTGTCTAAGAATAGCTCAATTTAAGAACAAATCAGTCAAACATGACTAATCAAAGCTAAATTTCAGGATTGACTGTAAAGCCCTTTACAACCCTTAGCAGTCTGATTTTTTGTAAATGAAAAACAAGATTGTTTTTTTCCTAATGAATCACTGACTGTTGATAAAAATCTGAGAAAACCCGTAAAACATGTGCAACATGTCGGATGCTTATCTGATGAAAATATTGAGTATGATGGGAAATAATTCATGGCTGCTCAAATAAGAGTTGTATTCCAGATCACAGATCTGTGGGAAGATGTAACCCTTCCTGTGCTTTTTTTTGTCTGCAGCCTACATTCATCCCAAAGATGCGGCTCTTTTGTGCTTCTCACACAAGCATGCAGTCTGACAATGCAAACACGTTAAAATAATTACAGGGTGGAGTGTTAACCTCAGGCATGCTTGCAACACTTATCGGCTAATTGTCAGAAGTCCTGGCATTCCTTTACATTGTTTACAACCTTAAATTAACCAGAATACAAATACACGGTTTTGCTTCTGGAATTTAACATATATAGATATTTAGATATAGATACATATTTAGATATGTAAATAAATAACAATCAATAAAAGCTTACAGAGTCATATTAAAGTAGCTCAGGTCTTCCTTCTGCTCAGCTGAACTTATTGGGCAAACACAGAGGAGGGATTTCCCCATTACTTGTGATTGGAGTCTAATCATAAACACACAAGAGTGATAAAAACATCAAGAAAGATAACTTCCTCATTTCTACTCATCTTACTCCAAATTATCTCCCTCCTTTTACAGCGGTGCAAATTACGAACGTTATCAAACGGAGCACATCAAAGCTCAGTCATTCAGCTCTGTTGTGTGACTCAGCTGACAGAAAGCCTTGACAGTTTTCTGTAAGTTGTAAAAAGACAGAATGGTGTGACAGAGGAAATAAAGATCACACTTTACAATTAATGTTCCAACAGAGCCATATAAAAATATCAACTTTCAACTCATGTTAGGGGGACATAAAAGTCTACTAAAATAAAATAAAACAAAGTCAAAGTCGATTTATTTTAAAGGGCAGACATAGGAGGGGCATATAATCACCACGTGTCTTCTAAATAAAAGAATTACATAAGCCATCTGATGACTATAGCAACGATGGAGTTAACTCCCTTTGATTTAACAGAATTAGAGGCTATGCTAGCAATGCAAGGCTTTAGCTGTTGACTTCAATGAACAGAGGAGCTGTTCAGTTCGCCGTGTGTATCCACCGCATCTGATTTGCTTTAAAGCATGTGACTTAAAAGTCTTTGTAATTTTAAAGGACTTACATCCTCATTCTTGTCAACTGATCCACAGCCTATTCATTCAGCACACAGGAAATGCTACTTGTTATATTTTAGACCTCGTAAGATGTAAATCCAGAACTTGCAGAAGAATCATTAAGAGAGTCCTACTGTTAGGCTTCAAATACTACAAGAATCAGCCAAAACACTAAACGTACTGAAAGGTGAAGAGGTGAGTAAGACGAAGAGCTCCGAGAACTGATGCCACAGATACTAATCCAACTTAGCGTAAATGGGACATGGTGGAATGACCAACCACAGTAGACAGTATAAGAGATGGACACAGCCACTATGATGTCACTCGTGGGTTTTGGGCTCCATATCTTAAAGTCATAGCCACTGCTATGTTGGTCTAGAGCAGGGGTGTCAAACTCATTTCACATCATGGGCCACATACAGCCCACTTCTTAAGTGGGTCGGACCAGTGAAAATCCCCTTTCTGTCAGTGTAAAGACATTTAACTACACACATTCGATATAAGAAAAAGAAGAGCGATGTCAATAGCACAGCTCTTTTTTTCTACATGATAAAGAAATGCTGCTGTGGTTAATGAAGATTTGTAAAATTAGAGAAAAGGTCCTGGTAGATCATTTTCCAGATTCTCCTATAATTACAAAACTGATTTATTCACAGATATATTTTTATGTGGACCCTTTAAAAAAACAAAAAAACAAACAAAACCCCCAGACATTTCTATAGTCAATAGTCAAAAAATGAACTTTTCGGTCATTTAAATGTTTATCTATTACATAATTACTTTGTTGTAGTATTAATGGCCGTGGGTGACGTGTTTATCAGTAGAAAAAGCTGTAAAACTTATGAAAATGCAGTAAAAACGTCAAAATCTATGCTCTACTTGACATTTTCTAAAGCCGTCCAGTGGGGCAGATTGAAGTCTTTACTGGCCCCCAGGTCTTATGTTTGACACCACTGGTCGAGAGGTTGTAAGATACCAGCAAGATGAATTCAACAACTTTGACAGTATAGAAGACAGACACAAATTCCACATCACAACACTGAAGCCAACACTGAAGTGCTTTGATAAATGCTTAGCCAATGAGCACGCGGTTTCACAGCCAGATCCACCCATCGCTCGTCACATCCAAGTGAAACTGAAGCACAAATTTATTAACAAAATGCACCAACACCATAAACTTGGTGGAGGTCCAGTTGATGCATGGGTAAAGCTTCTTACTAAAGATGCAAGCAGACAGCTGCCACTGTTGGCACACCTGTCAAAGTCAGTCACATCGCCAGCTTTAACGCTTGCGATTATCAAAATCGATAAGTCCTGAAAAAAAGAAAAGAATTCAAATTTAAATGAAATCCCTCACAGTGCAGTATCGGGACATAAAAATGCTATTTCATGTTGTATAATTAGGCATGTTAACATAGGAAAATGCCTAATTTGGGGAATGACTCACTTTCGTAAGCACTCTTACCCAGCCATTAGAGGAACTGCAGTTTTTGCCACTTGACTCCCACATAACCTGTAGGTTCCCAAGAATCCCTAAAAATGTTGAACATGCCAAACGTTTCAAATAATGAAGTCAGAGTATCCCTGTGAATGAAAAAGTCTCAAGAAGGCTTCAGAATGCCCCAAGCACTTGTTATTTTCTACTTTTAACGCTGTATTGCACCACAGCGAGAAACATCTCTCAGGTACACAACTCTGTGTGAATACAGAGCTCCACCCCTCTTGTCAAACCTTGTGTTTGTGAAGGGCAGCCAATCAGAAGAAAGGCACTGACCCTAAAAGTATACGTGCTGAAATGGCTCGTTTTAAACAGAGGATAAACTGAGATTCAGCACCCAGACCCAGATAGGATAAATAGAGATTTTTTTAATTTATTTATTTTTTTAAACTGTAAATCAAGTAAAGCCACTCCAGTAGAAGAATAAAAAATGAGCCCATCTATGTTTTGGTTATAATACTAGGGACTTGTTACAGCATGTGTGCACAAAGTCCAAAGTTCTAGCATTCATAAAAGAGCCATTCCCAAACTGCTGCCAAGAAAGCATGAAAGCAATATACTATGGAATGTTCGTTTTTAAATTCCACAAACTATTTCCTTCTGGGAAGCAGACTCGACCCAGGAACTACAGTTCAAACAAAATAAAAAAAAGTAATGAGTGTCTACGCTATGTTGTAAACCTTCGGGGTTAAAAAAATTAAACCAGCAGAGAAGTTGCTCTAATTTTCTAACTTCAGTCACAACAATAAGTTTAAAGCCTGGCACAAAAGATGATTTGGGGGTTGTAGTTACTCCTTCATATCACTGTACAGCTGTATCATTTTAAGGCTTAAAGTTAAAGGCATGGCTTTGATAGACAGGTGCCCTGTAGCACTTAGTTGTTTGCTGGGTACCTGTATCTGTAAGTTGTGGAGTTTAAGCATGCCAAGCAAGCAGCATCTATAAGTGCACTTATAGATCTGGTGTTTAAATGCACTTACACATTTAATCGAACAGTATAATGTACACAAGAGTGACAAAGGGCCTGCACTTGTGAAATTTATGTTTTTGGGCAGGGATAGCTCAGTAGGTAGAGTGGTGGCCCCATGATCGGAAGGTCGGGGATTCCCCTGAACACCTACCCTGAGGTACCCCTGAGCAAGGTACCGTCCCTACACACTGCTCCCCGGGCGCCCAATGGCTGCCCACTGCTTCACTGAGTGAATGGGTTAAATGCAGAGAGGAATTTCCCCACGGGGATCAATAAAGTACACTTTCTTCTTTCTTTCTTAAATACGCCACGCAATCGTCTTCCCCATGACAATCCTGCAGATCCAGAGATTTATTCTAAAAACTGTACACAGGCAAGCTGCTCATCATAGCAAGATGGAAAGAAGAATGTCCCCAACTTTTTCAGTCAATGTCTTAAGTCACGAAGATGACAGCCAAGTAATCAGGCTGAATTCTTCACATGGTACAATTTTCTTTTTTAACCATCCCTCAAAGACTATTTATAATAGAGCCACTAAGTCAACATGAATGACTGCTGGGACACCCTAAAACCTGTTTACGTCCCCTACAGGGAATACAGTTGTTTTTAATTTCTCAGCTTTTCCTGTTCTGTCAAGTGAAAAATGACTGAAGTGAAAAGGTCTATTTTCTGAAGTCTAAAGACGACTCAGG